CGCTGTCGCCTTCCCACCCCTCGTCCCTCCTCTTCTGCCATAAGCCTCCCCAAAGTCCGGGCATGCAAAGGTGCAAGCGCACCGGTCCCCGCGGGAATTGCTCCCCCGCTGCTGCCGCTCCAAGCCCGCCCCCAACTGGTGCGCGAAGCACAATGCAGAAGCTGCGCGCGCCCTGCCTGTGCGTTCCCCACCTACTGGGCAAAGGGGAGCGCACCGCGCTTGCCCAGTCCCCGCTTCCACAGCAAGACGAGCGGCTTAGCGGACCATTAAAGAGGGCAGGTAGCTGACTCTACGGACCAATGAAAACGAACCCGGCGGAAGGAGGCGTGACGCTGCCAACCCACCCGTCTCAGCCCTCCTTCCTTCCTCCGGGGTCTCGGGAGGAATCTCAGCCAATGATGAAAGGCTGGAGGCGTTTCCGCCCAATAGGAAAGCGCCGAGGGGGTTGGCTCGGTGAGCCGCGTGCAGGAAGTGCGCTGAAGCAGCAGTAGCAGCAGCTCCGGGAGCGGCATGGCGGCGGCGGGGATGAAGAGAAAGCAGCAGAGGCAGCGCGGAGCTTCCGCTTCGGGCTCAACGGCGGGGGGCGCAGCGCGCAAGAAGCGCAAGGTCAGTGGGGAGTGCGGGAAGTGGGGGGGGGGAGGGGAGAGCGGCCGAGCTCCCCATCCCGGGGCGCCGCGTGGCTGAATTACTTGGCGACATGCTCTCCCCTTTCGGCCGTCGGGCTCGTTTAAGGGGTCCCCCCTCCACTGCCCTAAGCAAGTTATTCTCACGGGGGCAGAGACCAAGGGTGAGGAGGGTGGTGGGGATAGCACCACGTGCTCGTTTCCAAAACAGTAAGGAATAGGGTGGGATGAGCACCAGCAACTGTGCAGTGAGCCTTAGCAAGTTTACTCGCGAGGAAGTTCACTGGTTTCAGTCGAGCATGTTGCTCTTTTCGCTAGCGGCCTTAAGCGGTACTCGAGGGTGCCTCGCAGGCTTAAATTACTTGTTAAATAAGCAGTAGGGGTCACGATTCTGTCGTTTGAGAACTTGCCATTGGCTTTGTACTTCATATCCGTACTTTGGTAGTTATGAGAATCCAGAGAGAGAATTTTGCATGTAGAATGGGTTTTGGTTGCACAATTAGTCAGTTCTCCAGCTACTAGTCATTGGCCATCTTTACCACTTAAAACTCCTGTTCCTCAATACTGTATAGCAATGCTTCATCTTAGTAGACTTGCAATTGCTTTCTGAAATGATTGTTTTACTTCCTAGCTCCCTGCTGCCGATGAGAAAGCGTGGCAGAAAGCTGGCTCTAAGCTGAATGAGGAGATTTCCAGCGATTCTGAACCAGACACGTAAGGATATGCATTGGTCTCCCTCTGTAGCTTAGAAGGAAAGATGCATGATCTTGAATAAAGATGCATGTTCTCAGAAAAATGAATTCAGAGAACCAGACTTGGTATGAATCCCCTCCCTAAGGGGGGTAAGATAATAAGAGAGTTGGGTGAGAAAATTGTGTTCTCCTTGCTGCAAAGCAGGCTGTTATGTTCTTGTATAGGTCTAGACATTTGTGTAATACTTTGCAGTGTAGCTCGCAGGGATTCTTGGAACACAACCCTTTCTTGACCCTTAGGGGACACTGTGGGAGAACTCCTCTGAGATTGTGAGAATGTTATTTCTAGCTAATGGATGATTGTAAGAGCCTTATGGGTTGTATCTTTCCCACCTGTAGCCCAGCAAGAAAAAAGAACAATGAAGCAGCAGATGAAATTGAGGAGACAGCACAAGAAAAGAAACTAAGATTAGCAAAGTTATATCTGGAGCAGCTTCGACAGCAAGGTGAGATGTTGGATATGTTGTGATATAACATGACTGCAAACTCTGTGAAGTATTGTAAAACATCAACCAAGATGGTTTTAAAAAGTAAGAGAATCTGGAATGAAGAGTGAAAGCTCCTATGAGAAGCTCATGGTCTTTTTTTAAAAACATTGATGTAGAGGAAATGATTGCAGAAATTTACTAAGACAGTATAGCTTAGCTTGCTGACATATCTCAACTCTTTGACTTTTAGAATCTGCTTAAGAGAAGCAATTTTTAAGAAGTGTGTTGGGAAGGGAGATTGGTTTGGGGTACTTGTTCTCCTCAAAGTGTCTGGAGTGGCCTGTTTGGGGTCAATTCCTGTGGTTATGCAAACAAACAACTCTGATTCTCTTTGCCACAGCCACTTTATCTGATAAGCCAGCTTTTGCCAGGGAACTGGTACACCCAGCAATTTCAAGTGGCAGCCATGCATTTGTGGGATATGTACAAATTGACCCCTAGTACCTTGACGAATGGCTCTTCTAGGACAGTATTCTTCAATCCTTGGGTTGGTGGACTGAACTCCTGTCATTCCCCAATTAGTTTAGTCAATGGCTGGTGATGGTAGGAGTTGTGGGTTGCATTCAGGCAGCACTTTATTACATTTATTACATTTTCTTTACTTTGTAATTGCTGTGTGTTACGTGATCTGGAAATCTAACAGAATGTAGTGGAAGTTTCATGCTGATTTCCATGCTAATTGCTTCCAGAAAAAATAGTTTGTGTTGTAATTTACCCACTGTTTGTCACGCTTCACACTATGTGATGAAATTTAGGATGGTTTTCCAGCCACGGCAATTCTTTCCCATAGTTTTCATGGGTGAATCAGGAACAGAAACACACATGTACATCAAGACATTCACATGTTCAATGACATTCACTCTTTGAAGCCTTGGGTCTTATGCCCTGTTTGTATGTGTTTCCCTGAGCAGAAGAGGAAAAAGCTGAAGAAGAGGCCTTTGAGAAGGACCTGGTTGCCGGCCGGCTGAAGGAAGATGTGGTGAGTAGGATACTGTACTTGGTAAAAAGGTGCTGGGCTTCAGAAGGGCAGAGGAGAGGCAGATTTTCTCAGCTAATGAATAAGCTTTAATGGGGTATTTTCATTAGAGAGTAAAAGAGAAATTCCTTCCACGTTGTAGCTGCTGACTGGGGGCTTGGCCCCTTCAACAGGCCCTCTTCCACATAGTAGCAAGAAGCTGGTTGGTAAGCAGGAAAATCAGCAGTCCATCTCTGCCTACCCATGCTTGCCTTTCAAACAGCAAGTGGAAACGGACAGCAAGGGCTGTTGTTGATGGTGTGTGTGTGTGTGTGTGTGTGTGTGTGTACACACACACATACAGTTTCCCACTCCTATCTTAAAGCATATTTAGCATGCTCTTTTTGGAATTTAGTCAATTCCCCTCCCATACTCACGAAGTAGCGCGCTGAGACTTTTCCAGTCGAGTGAAGTATGAGGGCTGGCTGCGTAAGGGATCTGGCAGTCGGGGTCACCAGATGTTGGAATGAATCCACGACAGACGAGTGGCAGGTGTCATATGATAGGTATCTGCAGGGGCGAGCCCCGGGAACTCTTTTTTATTGAATATTACAAACATTGCCACAGGTGTGCTTGTGGCTGATTGGTTGATACAAACACAAAGCAACTTGTTGCTGATTGGTTAACATAGGTACAAGGCGGGAATTACATATAACCATTTATCACTGATAGATTAAAGGCTGGGAAACGGAGCTGGAACTAGACAGGCATGAAACCTCCTAATTAAATTATAACTAAAGATTAATATAGTATGACTTGAAAGAACATAACATGAAAGAATACAACAATCACGTTCCGTAGATGTGGTCAGCAATGCATTAAGAACAGATCATATTGTTTGTTCATGAACTTGAAATGAACTGAGGAATGAGAGAATGTCTTGGTGTGTTTAGAACAGGTTTGTACAGTGTGTGCAGAAGCAGAGAAAAGATTATGAGCGAGACTTCCCAGAATGCAAGAGAAAAGAAGCCATAGTTCTCATAGCAAGACTTCCCATAATGCCACAGTTATGTGCAGAAAGAGAACTGCAGAAAGAGAACTTCCCTTTATTCTCTACGTAGTTTACAATCAGCTAATTGCAGGGAGCAGGATAGAAGCAGAGGAAGAAAGTGATCATTAAAGCACTGAGGCAGACAGAGGAAAATGGAAAGTGCAGAGAATCAACATTTCCCCCCTGCATGTTGCCCCCACTTTTCAGAGGTCCTGCGCTTCCAACACAGGGGCATGCATAGTACCCTACAGTACCACAGCAACCAGACTGGGAAGCTTCCTGTAGGGTCACCCTACCTTATAATCCTCTGATGATGGGTCTACCAGGGTGAGTTCGCACTTTAAGAGCCCATAGTCCTTGTCCACTGGGTGTGGGACCTCTTCCACCTTCATTTCCTCCTTTTCTTCCTCTTCCTTCCTCTTCTGGGCCTGCATACTCTGGTCACGTTCAGTATCTGCCAGTACCTATCAGGAAAGGGAACCAATCTTCACAAACACTGGTGGTGGGAGGAACCATTTGACGCTTACACTGCCATCCTATGTGAGCCTCACTTCCAAGTAAACATATCTAGGACTGTGCTATTGGTAGCCCATTTCAGCTAGGGAAATCTCATTGGTGCTCTAGCTTGAAATCAAAAGGGGGGAAGGTTAAGGTTTTTCATATGTTTTCAATATTGCTATTGGGGGTGGTGTGTGTGTGTGTGTGTGTGTGAGAGAGAGAGAGAGAGAGAGAGAGAGAATGAATTCAATAGTGTTTCTTTGTTTTTGGTTGTTAGTTTGCTAATGTTAATATTGTTTTGTAGATTATGAATGCTGTAGTGCTTTGTGAATCTTATAATATGACTTGTGGTTGTGCTGCTTGGCTATGTTTGAGTTGCTTTGTTAGTGTTTTATAAAAGGTGGTTGTTTTACAGAAGATTTCTAATTGCTTTACTGAGGATTTGTTATTTTATATGATTTATGTTTTAATTGCGATGTTCTATTATGTTATTGCTGTTTATTGTTTGTGAGCTGCTTTGTCAATTGTGTGAGTGAAATGCCACACAGAAATGTAACGAATGAAATGAAATGAGGAAAGAGAGACTCTTGAACTCAAGAGTGGAAGCGATTATTAACCCTGAAGGCTGCACCCACTAAGCAGCCATTTTGAGTACTGAGGGCTTATAGTGCAAAATCATAACTGGACCAGAGTTATTGGCCTTTTTGTTTTGTGAGTTCTCAAGATTATACCCTTCAGTTTTGAAAGGCTGCAGCTTGTTGGCAGAACAGCTGCATGCAGATGGTCCATCACAGGGAGCTGCTGCCAATCAGTGTAGACAACATGGAGCTACATGGACAAAAGGTCTGACTTGGCATAAGGCAGCTTCTGTGTTTCCATTGTTTTCAGGTAAGGCTATGGCTTAATGGTAGAACATCTGCTTTCCATGCAGAAGGTCCCTGGTTCGATCTCCGGGTAGGGTTGGGAATGTTCCCATCTGAAACCCCGGGGAGCTGCAGTTATTCAGGGTCAGCAGTACTCAGCTGCTAGATGGATTCATGGTCTGACTCAGTATAAGGCAGATTCCTATGTTCCTTTCTTTTTGTTGTGGTCTCAGCTCTCATTCCTATAGTACTAAACACTGCAGTAGCTGGGACAGAGCAACAGGGGTTCTTTACCTTTTTACCTTTACTAAACACTGCAAATTGAACTGCTATAAAGGCTTCCATTATTATGTTTAATATTAAAATATTTAGTCTGCTATCTTTTAGCACAAGTGGAAAAAGACTGTGCAATAGACACAGCATGGGACCAAGTGAGCAGAACCTATGGCCACTGGAGCTCTCTCTCAAACATTTAAAACACATTTCTGGCCAATTACCCACACACCATTTTTCTCATTTGACAGGGTCATTGGGCAGCTTTGGGCCCCAGACAGAACCTGTGGCTGTCAGAGCAGGTAAGGAAGCGTAGCAGTACAGAATTTTTGTGGCAGCGAGGATACTTCATTGCTGCGTAGGCAAGACCTTGGTCTCAGTCTGAGCATGCAGGACTCTTGACGGAGCCTTCCACAGCGCAGAGATGTCTCTTGCTCTAATGGCGGGGGGATTGGCCCAGTACTCGGAGCTCCTTACCAGCAGCATGTCCTTCTTGGCTTGGACAACCTCCTGAGTGCTGATGGGTGGAGGCCGAGCCCGGCCAAAGTTGTGGGGGATGATGGTGTAGAAGCGAGAGGAGAGCTCCTCCAGCTGCTCCTGTGAAGGCGGCTGCTTCTGCAGTGCTGTCTCAATGGCCTCCAGAGCTTCAAGGCCTTTGGCAATTTGCTGCTTGCTCAGTTTCCCCAGGGGCATCTTCTTCACATCTGGGAAAGGGGATTAAAAAGGGTGACATGAGGAAGTTTGGCAGAGATCAGTGTAACAACTCTGTGGACTTCCAAGAATCCTACAAATCAGTAGCTGAAACCACCCGGATCAGAACGCCACTACAGTACTTAGTTCAATTCATGCCCCTTTTCACTCTATAACCGAACCACTTTCTGCTCTTCCCAGGTTGGTCTTCATTTGTGACCAAGGACCAAAGAATCAAATCTCAACAGTACAGGTGACCTGAACTTCTCTCCATCTCCCTCCTCCCCATAACCGAGTTTTCTCTCACTAATTGGTTTAGCTTGATGTTGTTACAACTATATATACCAGCTTTCTCTATTAGCCAAATGGATAGCAAACCACAATAAACAGATAATGTATGTTTGATGCCAAGAGCAGGCAAGATGGATATATCATAGAGTTCGGAGAGACTCCAGGGTCATCTAGACCCTGCAATGCAGGAATCTCAGCTAAAGCAGCCATGACAGGTGGCCATCCAACCTCTGCTTAGAAACCTCCAAGGAAGGAGAGTCCACCGCCTCTCATGGGAGTCTGTTCCGCTGCCAAACAGTTCTTACAGTCAGAAAGTTTTTTTTTAATGTTTAGTCGGACTCTCCTTTCTTGTAACTTGAAGCCATTGGGTGCTTCTCCCACCTGCTGCAAAGCAAACAACAACAACCCAACCCACCACCAAAAGATCCCTTGACCCTTTACCTAAATTCATGGTCTGCATGGCATCCTCAAACGTGTCATTGCTGAAGTTGAGCGAGACCAGCTCCTGAGTAGCCTTGTCCAAGGTGCAGGGCCGTATCCTTTGCTTGGATAGCTTCACTCCATCTACACTGTCCACCTTGGAAACAGCAAAGAACCAACCTGGGTCTGGATATACACACAATTCAGCTTCTTCTAGTGGGGCTGAACTTCACCCTTAGATTCACAGTAGGACACACAAGCTTTTACCTGGCAGTGAACACCTTTCAAAATAACAGGACTTAAGCAAACACCCTTGAGCAAATGGACCTGCACATGGAAATGCTAACTGACTTCCATTAACTTCACCAACCCTGACGCAGTTCACTCACTGCAAGAGATTATCCATGTTCTCTAACTCACACAGACCTTGAAAACCTGCAGGAGTCCTCTAAATCACTGATAACTGGGAGATAGACTGTGATTAGGCTGCTAGGATAACTTTGTGAGGATTGGATTGGTGATCGAAGATCGCACACAGCCTCAACCAGGAGCCTTAACCAGGTGATAGCGCTCTGCCCGGCTACTGACAGCACTGTTGCCTCTTACTAATGGTGTGGGGCACAGACAGAATGGCGGCTTGGTTGGGCTGTGCAGGCACACCAGCAGAACTCATCTGGCACTCTCAGCGCCAGATTCAGCTTAGTAGTCCCGCCAGTTGAAGCCCACCCAAGTACTTTTGCTAGTGCAATGGGGCTTTCCACCTCCTTCCCTCCCCCGGCACCCCTGGGTCTGATGGGCATCAGGGGAACCCCTGGAACAGTGGGTGAGAGAGAGGAAAGGGAAGATAATTCAATCAGGCAAGCAGAGATGCTTAATGCTATGCTGAACTCCTTCAGTCGCTGGTCGGCCCACAGGAGGTGCCTGGTGCTATAATGCCCAGGGATCAACCATCTGGCTCTCCAAATGATGCCTCCCATTGGTCCTTGGGCCAAAGCTATGGTGTGTGTATGGGTATGCAAGGACAGGGACCAGATTCTCCCAGACACATCCCAGGTCTCTTCCCTGAACTTTGTGCTTTCGTTTCAAAAAGTCCACAGCACCATATGTTCTGAAAGAACCAAAAAACCATATGGACAGTAATGAATAAGAAGTAAACCCACTCCTGGGCTTAGCGTGTTCTGGATACTGTGTGTCAAAGTATTGGGACGACTGATAAAGAAGCACTGGACCACTATTTTTTAGTTTGATTAATCTATTACTTATTTTACCATGCTGATTTACCGTGCAATCTTAGGTATGCTTACAGAGAAGTTGCATTCAATTCAATAGGACTCTCTTGCAAGTCGGATTGCACTGCCAGCAAATCAACTAACCTAATTTTAAATGTATTAGTCTAGACTGTTTGCAATTAGGCTTTGTTTGTTTCTGCTGTTTTGCACTGACTTATGCCTCTCCCCAGTGTGCCAGTCTGCTCCCAGTGTATTCCTTGGCTCAGTACCTTCACAGTCACCTCCTGCTCCTCTTCATCATCTGCATGTTGCACCTCAATCAAGGTGTACTTGCCATCGTGAGCCACAAAGTTCTCCCGGTCACCCCAGCTGTTCTTGGTCTTATCCCGAAATTTCTTCTCAAAATCCTTCTTGGCCGCCTCCAAGGATGGAAAGGCGTTGAGTTTTGACTGCCCTACTTCTCCCTGCAAGCAACGAGAGGAAAGGAAACACACATCAGCAAGAGACAGAAACTTCTGCATCTTCTCCCACGTATCTTGTGCTTCCTTTCTTAGTCCTGCAATGAAAGAAGGGCAGGAAAGGATGGGCAGGGACACGGCCATCCTCACAGGCAGGAAAACTCATACCTTCCACAAAGTAGGGTAACCTATAGAGGGGGACATGTCCTTGCATGCAATTGTACACTTTAGGAGGACATCTTGCATCATCTTGTCTGCTGGCATATATTGGTTCTGAAGGGATCACAACCTCTTTGTAGAAAGCACAATCCACCAATCCAGCCTTTGATACACGTTCTTCCACCAAGCTTCAGCCCTTCGCAGAGGAAACAGAGAGCCTGCCAATTGCATGCACAGTGAGTCTCTGGTGCAGGCTTCTCTGTTGTACACAACGGTTCCCTGAAGTCCTTAATCTCCACTTTGAAGTGGAGGTAGATTTCCTTGCCCACTTAGTCCCATTTGCATTCTTTGCTCCCAGTCTTAGGGTGTTTGATCCTCCATCCTGCCCCACCTTCTGTAAGTGCAGCATATTTTAGAAAGGTGAAAATAATCCAGGAGTGACTTCTCTTGATGTCTGAGCAACGATGAATTGTAATAAATATAAAGTGCCTCCAGAGTGGAAACTCAATTTAGGTCATTAGCAGCTGGAGTCTGGAGGCACACAGATTTATCACCTGGATGTCTCAGAGATGCTTTTACAAAAAGAAAGAGAAAAATACTGCCCAAGAGCCATTTTAGCATTTGAGGCTGCCATCTTCTAGCCACTTGTTTATGATTACCCTAGTGCACTGCAAGAGACTTACAGAGTAGATAAAATCATTCTCTATTTTTCCTGTTACCTCTATTTCTTACAGCACCTCAAGATTCTCATAAAAGTTTTAGTGAAGTAGCTAATAACATGTGCCTAATTCTATATTTCTTTTTTCTCTCCCCACTCCTTCTCCCTTTCTCATTTTGCCTGGAATTTTCTCAGATCAGCATCTGTTCCCAAATATTGGAATCTCTCTCCAACAAAAGCAAAGGCATATGACGATAAAATTATCCTACTGATTTGCACTGTTCTACAAGGTTTGGGATGCACCTCCTAGAGCCATATATTCTTCTTGTACCAGGTCCTCTAATCAACTTGGCTTTCAGGTTTTTAGCATGGGTATGTAAACAGCTGTACATATTGTTCCTCTTTAAATATTTTATACCCATTTTTTCCCTACTGTAAAGGAATTTTTTTATTAGTTTTTATTGAATGCTTGTCATCTGTTTACAAGGGACGCGGGTGGCGCTGTGGGTTAAACCACAGAGCCTAGGACTTGCCGATCAGAAGGTCGGCGGTTCGAATCCCCGTGACGGGGTGAGCTTCTGTTGCTCGGTCCCAGCTCCTCCCAACCTAGCAGTTCAAAAGCACTTCAAAGTGCAAGTAGATAAATAGGTACTGCTCTGGCGGGAAGGTAAACGGCGTTTCCGTGTGCTGCTCTGGTTCGCCAGAAGCGGCTTAGTCATGCTGGCCACATGACCTGGAAGCTGTATGCCAGCTCCCTCGGCCAATAAAGCGAGATGAGCGCGGCAACCCCAGAGTTGGTCATGACTGGACCTAATGGTCAGGGGTCCCTTTATCTTTACCTTTGTCATCTGTTTATGGAGGCAGTTCTGGCCAGGGGACTCAAAAGGTTGTAGAAGGTGCAACAGGTCAGCACAGGAAACTAACCTGCGGGTGGAATGAAGCTTAGTTACCATGTCCATGTGTGAGTGTGTGTGGGTGGGTGCGTGGGGGGAGAGAGAGTAACTTAGCAAAACTGTGTTCTCCTCCCGACAACCTGTTTATTGAGCATTCATCTCAATTTGCTTGCAAACAAATCCTTCTGATTATATGACAATGAGGATTCATCCTTATCTGTTTGCAGGGAAGTCATATCCCTGCCTGTCCATCTGTTGTTACCCAACACTTTATAGTGCATTTCTCTGTCACTTTCCTAACTGCGAAAGACATTTATATATCTATATCTGTATCTATATCATTTAAAAAAGTGGTTTTGTTGCACCTGAGCACTTGAATCCACTTTCATTGTGCAAACCTAAATTTACAGTGTGCCTGTGTCTGGAGTTGGCTTCTACTGTCTTTCTGATTGACTAGGAGGCTGGAATGATGAATCATACATATAAATGATGCTGGCAAACAAGCAGAGAGTGATGGGAGAGCTAGGAAACAGAAAAAGTCACAGTTGCTGAGAATCCAGATTCCAGGGACAAAAGAAGCTGAGCTGAAAGCACTGAGGTTAACTGGGGCACTGCCAATGAATTAGGATGGAGCAAAAGGAATTCCTTTATTATTTGGTCTTAAGCTAAAGTAGGGAAGCAGTTTGTATAAGCCTTACGTAGATAGACTATAAAAATAGCATGGGGGGAAAATGCATCTAATTGCTCTTATCGGCAACTGCTAAAACCACAGGAGCGGCTAAGTTAGCTGGTTTGTTCATCTGCTCCTCATGGAGAAGGTTGCAGCCATGCTACTATAATGTCAGCTACAGCGAGTACGGAAAGTTAAAGCTATTGTTAGTTTCTGTTTGCCATCTCTATTTATGTCAAATTATTCAGAAGGGGTTTCTTTTGGCTTGGATGTTCCTTGACAGCAGCCATGAGATTTCTTCCTAGCATCAACTTATAGAGATCTTTTTCCTTCCCCGCCACCCCAGCTAGAGCATAGAGGGCCACTCTGGAATACACAGGCATGTATTTGCGTTCTCTGAAGAACAGCAATGGGCCTATCAGAGCTATTAGCCTCTGGAATAAGAGAAAGCTAGCTACTAACTTCAGCTCCTTACCTTGGTCTCCAGAGAAGTATGTTTTGTGTTTCCGCCTAAAAGCCCAAGGATAGGGGGAGAAAGTGTGTCTCTATGTGGCACTCACTGTAGAGTGTATTTGGTATGCAAACAAAGCAAGAGGGGAGGAGGACATGTGGTGAAAATTAGCAAAAGGGTGGCGGGAAAGAGCCTATTGTGATGGATGACTCAGTACAGCTCCCACTCCAGGTTCTCAAGCACAGAGTCCCTGCCAAGTTATGACAACCTAATTCCAGGAATAAAAGCCTTTTGAACTCGAGCCTTGGAGGAAGAAAAGACAACTGGGAGAGAACAATCCTAGCCACCCACACCCTCAACAGTCAGGTAGGCAAATAAACTTGGGTCTAAAGGCCTGACATAAAGAGGGTTTCACCCAAGGGGGCACATCAGGTCAAGACAAACTTAATCAGCTTGCATTTATGTCTGCCTCACAGGTTACAATAAAAGGCTGCTTTAAGCTGGACACACAGCTGAAAGTTTTACTCAGAGGAGACGTCTTGAAATGAATGGTCCTAACTTAGTCACGTTCATTAATCTCAAGGGGTCAACTCTGAGTCTCTCTTAGTAGAATACCACCCAATGTTCCTTAAAAGAGATCCCCCCCACATCAGAAAATGCTGGATCCCAACTCCCAATAGGTTGTCAGGGATGACAGGAGCTGCAGTTTAGCAAACCTGGACACTCTTGAGGTCTCCCATCTCTGCCTATAGCTTCAACAAACACTATTGCCCTGGTTACAAAATTGCAGCTTGGGGAACCGGGACACGTCCTAGGAGTTCTACTGAGAAAATTAATTAAGGCTGCAGTCAGACACCCACCAAAGACCCACTTGATCCAAAGGGACTTCTGAAAAGACATTTGTGGGATTGCAACCATGGCTGTTAGGAAATCTCAACTGCTGAATTACGTTGCAATTTAACAACAACAACCACCTGATCAACATAAGATGTAAACATTTCTTTCTCAAGAGCACATTGTCTCAATGTTCTCTGTATCGATTAGTTTACCGCAAGCTCATGTCTAATTTTAATAGATAACTGAAGAATGAACTTGTGCAATTTTGCCATTGCAACACAGGTCTGGAAGAAGCAAACAATTGCCTTGCACTGATTCTCCAAGGTCACTGGCCTCTTACTAGATTAAACGCAAACAGCTAGCAAAACAAACTTCAGGGGGATGGCTCTGAGTGCCCACAAGCTTATTTGAGCCAAGAGCACCAGGAGCTGCACCAGCGAGCTCTGGATGGGAAGTGTGCTTAAGCTCCCAGTCATTCCTTCGCAGTAACGCTTTTGCCTCTTCACAGTTTGGGTTAAAACGGCCCCCTGGACCTAGTCAGGCTTGCAGGTCACCTCTGACATCTAGTGACTATTGCTGTTCTGTGTTCCACAAGGGCATAGCCAGGAGACAGCTGCCCCTCAAATCAAGTAAATAAATAAAAACACTTAACTGACTGATCGCAACGCAGGTAGCTCAGTTCTGCCCCCCGAAACATAAATCTGGCTGCGCCCATGGTGTTTCGCCTTGTTAATTTAAAATGTTTTGCAATATTAAGAAAGCAGGGCAAATAAAAGGGAGAAATGTGTGGCAGTGCCATTAGCCCAAAGCATGGTGTCCTCAAGATGCTGCTATGCTACAGCTTCCATGATCTCTGACCTTTGGGCCACACTTGCTGGGGCTGATGGGAGTTGTAGTCTTAACAGCATATGGAGGGCACCCTGTTTGGCTACTCCAGGCTCAACAGGGAGTCATTTTAGAAGAGCGTACCTGGATTAGACCAAAGGTCTGAAACACAGGACTTTATTACTACTGGAAAAAGGCTTGTTTCCTCCCCCCAATCGCAAATGCTCAGAAGCCGCAGACCAAGAGAGCTGCACACTGTGGCCATCCTACCTATTACCCTGAAGTGGTAACACACTGCTCCAAGACAATTATTTTGTGAAACCATTATCTGTGACAAGTCTGCTGAAACACTGCACCTGATATACCAACAGCTCCAGGCTAAGCGAAGCGAGAATCCACATTACCAGGCTAAAGGTGTTTACAACCTTGTAAACAGTTTTATGGCAGCAGCAGTAGTCAGCCTGCTTCAGCATAAGAACTGGATGATCTCAGCTCTGTAGCCACTTAACCCCAGGGAATCTTGTACCACTTAAATGGTGCCCAGAGGCCCCAACACTTAGGTGTCATGTATGTGAAATTATTCCTATTCCTTTCCTTAGTTCCAACTCCTGCTCATTCGACTTTCTTGACTCACTCTCTCCTGTGTCTCAATGGTCAATGAGGAATGGTATTTTCCAGACTTTCTTAATGCTAGGCCCGCCACCTCGTAGCTTTTAACCAACCTGGGGAATATTAAGCAATAAATATGGCTAGGAACATTAATAGCAAGCACAGGGTCTGGATGGGTTATGGCTCTGCAAAATGTCATTCAGGAAACATTGCTGGAAGAGTTAAAGCTTTCTTTTAAATTGGCTAAGGTTTGGGCTATCTTTCCCCCTTTATTCCAGTGCTAGGCATCACTATCCACAGCTGTATATAATTGTGTCAGTCTTAGAGAGATGAAGACCCCCACCCACACAGATTTTTGAGAAAAGAACGACTGCAGGGGTCATCCTGAGGGCAAGCTACTCACCACACGGCCCCAGCGGTTCCAACAGCTGTACTTCCCATTCTGTTCTATGAGTTGGATGATGTAGAACTTGTTGTTATTGTGGCCAATGTTGGTCTGGTTCAGCATGCAGTCGTAGTCCTCGTGAATCTAAAATCATAACAGGCAACATGAACGCCCCTAAGACACCCACAGCAACCTCTGTGTGGCTAAATTCCAGCCTGTGATTGACATGTGGCAAAACGGGAGGACAATCAGAGCCCAGCACTTAAAGAGTACTGCAAGAACTAACAAATACCAAGTGCTATAATAAAGTCTAGGCTGGAATCCAAGAGGATAAATTCCTAGTCTGGCTGGACTCTCCCAATGGCATCCTCACCTTGATTAGTAGTTTTTGCTAAAAGATCTATGCAGTAGACAAATGGGCAGAAGGGGTCCTGAAGGACAGAACACTGTCCAATCCTAATACGGCTCGGGGGGGGCGGGGCGGGGGGCACGACGAAAATTTTTGGTTCCATTAATTTCCCCCCTCCTCTACTTGGGTCAGGCATAGGCAAACTCAGCCCTCCAGATGTTTTTCGCCTACAACTCCCATGATCCCTAGCTAGCAGGACCAGTGGTCAGGGATGATGGGAATTGTAGTCTCAAAACATCTGGAGGGCCAGGTTTGCCTATGCCTGACTTGGGACATGCAGCCCTGGCTGCCCTGCTAAAGGAAGGCAAAGGAAGCTTCAGGAGAAGAGAGAAGCCTCAAGATTCCGTGTGTACTTTGACCTTCACTGCCCCACCACAGGTGCCCACAGGAGGACTCCCATTATGCTACACTATCCCGTTGCAGGGCCAGCTGACAGGGGGAATGACCCCTTCCCCACCCCCCAATGGATGCTGGGCACAGGGAACACTTCAGCCAGAGCTTTGCTCTCACCTTGGCGCTATCAACGTCGCTCAGCTGACAGGCAGAGTCAATTTTGGCCTTGAGCTTCTCTTTGGGAGCTGCCTTCAGTGCCTCCACGGTGGAGCGGAAACTGTCTTCTTCAGGTTCAGCCTTTAGCTCCGGCTCCTGTTTCACTTTCTTGCCCTTGGCTGCTGCCCTGGTTTGGGCAGGGTCTTTGCACTTTGGTGGCATCGTTCCCTCCAGAGCCTTACCCTGTTTCCCAAAGGAGTCAGGCTGCTGCTCTTATTCAACTGCAAAAAAAAAAAAGGGGGGGGGCAGTTAATTCTTGACTCAGGAGGTCACTAGAAGTACCAGTCCCTAAATGACCCACACTGACATTCTCTGTGATTTCGTTTAAGTGAGAACAGGGAGAAGACTTGTCTACTTCAAACATTACCATTAAATAAATTTTATAAAGGAATACTGGAGTAGTTCCTTTCTGCCGACTGATCAGGCTCTTCAATAAAACTCTGGCAAAACACAGACTTTCCGAAAGACAGACTTAGCGGCAACAGCACATCGCTGGGTATTACAACAGCCAAGACCCCAAGGTGTGCTCCAATGTAGCATAGTGGCATAATGTAGCTCCAAAGACTTCTGCTTTTCTTTCCTGACAGATTTGGATGACATTCCCACATATGAGAATTCTGAGTGTGGCTGTGCACTCTGCTCAGATCTAGCAAAGGTTGCATATAGATATAGGCCATGGTAGGCAAACTAAGGCCCGGGGGCCGGATCTGGCCCAGCTGCCTTCTAAATCTGGCCCACGGACGGTCCAGGAATCAGTGTGTTTTTACATGAGTAGAATGTGCTCTTTTATTTAAAATGCATCTCTGGGTTATTTGTGGGGCATAGGAATTCATTCATTCCCCCCACCCAAAAAAATATAGTCTGGCACCCCACAAGGTCTGAGGGACAGTGGACTGGCCTCCTGCTGAAAAAGTTTGCTGTTCCCTGATATAGGCTGTATACATACCATACAGGTAAAGAATATTTAAAGCACATACCTTCCCCTAAAATATCCTGGGAACCATAGCTCTGGGAATTGTAGCTCTGTGAGGGATAAACTACAGTTCCCAGGATTCTCTGTGTGGGGTGTGCGCGCGCTTCAAATGTATGGTGTGCGCGCAGCCATAGAATATTATGTAAATGTAGAAGCTCAACATGCAAACTGATTATGTATGAAACAGCTGCAGCATTCTAATCTAACACTGAGGAGGGAAATGCAAACCTTTGGGTTAACAGCCAGGTGAACTGACCCATTGTGCCACAGAGATGAACATGTTGTCTTTAGTCCTAGGCCCACAGGCCCACACCCTAGGCAAACAGCCATACGACAACTATCAGAGCCAGATGCCGGTTTCATAGCTGACTCAGCCCCAAGCCCTCTCCTTCCTAATCACCCTGTTAGTTCAGACCTTTATTCCTTTGACAGCAGATCTTCCTTTTCGGTTTTTAACTGTATCAATCTGTTAACAAATCAGCCTTGGGAAATCTGGAACCTTTGGCTGGACCTTATTATGCTTCCCATCACCTGTAGGTTTGTCAGCTACTCCAAGCGTTTTAAATTCTGATTTGCTAATCCAATGCCAGGAACAGGCAAGGAGCCAACTTTTAACTTGCATACAGCTGACTGGCAGTTAATGGCAGGAGAATATTTTCCTAATGAGTCACAACTGAAAGTGCACGGTTATGTTCATGCTATTTCAATAACAGTGCACAGCTTTCACTAACAAGTCACAGCTTTATTGCACAAGAGGAAACTGTCTTTTCTAGGCCTTAGAAACAGTATACTTGCATACAATATAAAGGATTTTGCAAGCATTATAGCCAGAAGGTAAGACTTGGAGAGGAAAGGTGAACCAACGGATGCTGTTTGAGAACAGGTGAGATAATGCTTGAACACAGCAAAGGAAGGAGTCCAAGAAACAGACTGATTATCTGGTGGAGGTGAGAGAGAATAGCAGGTGAGATGGTGGATGGGATCAGATGACACCAAGAAAGCATGCGCAGGGACCGAGTGAGGAATTCCCAAACTATGGTCCATGGGCTTCAGTCAGGTGGTCTATGGAGCATCATTGGTGGCTAATGATGAGAGAAACAACACGTCTACCTCACTAAATAATCACATTGATTTTTAACTATGTTTTGGCAGCTTTTTTATTGCTTATGTTTTATTATGTTACAATTTGAATTCTACAACATTCAAATTGTAATACAATAAAATGCAATAATAGTAAAAACAGCCATACAGTGTCTAACACAGCGCATCACAATTGCTACAACAGTTAGGAAAAACATAAATGGTCTGCCCAGACCTGCATCAATTGGTCTGTGGGGAGCTTAGCCACAAGACGGGGGAATAAACAAACAAGTTTTCTAAAAGCCAGGTACAGTGATGCAAGGTTTTGAAATGTAACATCATTGCTATGTAGCATGGTTGGAGGCAGAAATATAAGACCAGCTAACAACAGATGAATGTATGATATCCAGCAAGCAGTCCTCTAGATGCACTAGTGCTCTTTGAACTCAGAACAAAATTATTTGAGTAATAAACAGCTCAAAGTCTGCCAGTGCTCCTGGGCTCTGCCTATCTACATATTGTGTTCCGGGAGACAGTCTGCTAGAACTCAACCATGTGTACATTGACTAGTTTCACTACAAAACCAATAGAGATACCAAATAACAGAAGTAGACAGATCAATATTATGCAAATGTTCTTATCTTTCAGGATCACTGGACTTGCCTCTATGCTTTGCTACCTATATTAATGAAGAGGCAGAGGCAACTTCCTTTGCCTTCATGCTAGTATCCTCCTCCTGCTTGAATTAAGAATGTGATTTGCACCTTGAATTGAGGAATTTAGTGCAAATCTAGTAGAAAATCCTGTTCTTTAGTATTATTTAACATCTTAAAATTGAGAGAAATTGCTGCCTCATAACAGGGTTGTTTTGTTATCTGCACCTCCCGACTCCCTAAAACCAGTCTACACAACAATAATAATTTTTACTATTTATACCCCGCCCATCTGGCTGGGGTACCCCACTCAGCTGACAGCATACAGCAAGCTCAACAGTTCTGGTCCAGAAAGGGGCTTGCTAAATAAATAGCATACTCAAACAAGCAAGCCAAACCACACAAAGCAAAGATTTAAAAAACAAAAAGCAATCAAATCTTACCAGAGAGAAAAAACCTTCTGAGTCATGTAAGCAATCATTCATAGCCTGCTGTATGCAAAATGTATAGCATACATACTCTGATGATGGAAAGTATGCACTCTTGATGCACAAATGAAAAGCGCAAATGGTCTTTTTTGGGGGATGGGGCGGGGCAATTAAGAGCCAATATTGGCATCATACCAATATTGGACTTGCAAATAATTTCGCCAAAGGTTTCAAGCCATGCAAGAATTTTTGCTGGCCCACCAATACTGTATTAATAATGTGGAACATAATGTGTGTGGGGAGGAAAGGGGAATAATTTACTTACTGTATTTCTCTCCTGCCCTTCTTCCTGAAGACCAAGGTGGCAAGAATCAGCACTTTCCCCAATTTACCAGATAGGTGTTTACACTCAAAGGATGCTATGTGGGGATTTGCCCCTTTAAAAAGTGGGTAGCGACCCATTAACTTGCGGAGGAGGGTCAAAGCAAAAAGCGCACAGCCCTGTCAAGTACTCGCTTAGGATCAGCGCCAGCGAGGGCGCAACTACAGCGGAGGTTCCAACCAGGATTAAAAGGAATCCGCAGTACCCCGTTATCAAGATACAGAGGCTCTACGTTGCTTGGGGACGTCTCCTGCACCTCTCTCTAATTCGAAGAAATCAGATCCGGTATAGACAGCTACGGATTCTGTCCACGTTCCCCGACTGTCGCTTTGGGAACGAACCAGAGACAAACAAGATAAAGGGCCAGTCGCCGCCACCCAGCTATTTATTTACTTCTCAAACCCCACTCCACCTCCCGCCTGCCCAGAGTAGCAAAACTCACCGCGGTGTGGGTGGGTGGTGCACCGGCTCTTCGTAGCCCGGTGGTCCTCCTAGACGCGGAGGGCTGCAGAAAGAAGCCAGGCAAAGTGGCAGGGCAAGTTTGGGCAAGTCGGAGGGCGACTCTCCCTCGCTTGTCGTCCCCTCCTCCCGCCTGGTGACTCAGCCTTCGATCAGCGGCTGCAGCAAGACGCCTCCCAGGGAAGGAGCCAGCCCAGCGCAGAGGCAAGGAAGGGGCTGAGCAGCAGAGCCCGGCTGCACGCCGAGCTGTCCATCAACGCGTGCTAGAACAGCCGGACCAGCCAAGCCCACACAAGGAGCGCAGAAACTTCTTCTGCATCCACTCACTTGTTTGGGCACTAAATTAAAATAATGTTTTTTATTTAATTAACCCCCCCCCCCCAAATCTCCCATGCATGAATGAACAGCGATAAGAGCACCAGGGATTATTGAGGGTTGTGCGTGTCCCTGAAAACAAGGGCACCCAGAAGGGGAAACTCTTGATTCATGTCATCCCGTGCAAACTAGCAAGCTGCACGGGCAATCTGCGGTCTCTTCGCTCCCCCGGCTTTGCATAGCTCTGTGGTTCACCCCCTTGCGCATTCCAAGGGCTAAGCCACGTCCCCACCCACTCCGCCAGCTGGCCTCTTGTGCCTCCCAG